CGCTCGAGGAAGTCGATGATCAACGGGACGACAGGTGATACAGGTGAGGTGATCATTCGGAGTACATATTTTCATCACTTTTTATTTTGAGTGTTCCAACTGTGGCTTCAAGCCGGTGAATCCTGCGGTAGTACAGGGGGTGCTGAAGTGCAGAAGACAATAAATGGGGAAGCTTGTCCATGCAATAGTATAATACTAACCTAAGTGATGCAAAAGGAACTGTTTACGCTTTTGCACATAAGAAACGATTCAGCTATATCAACTCAAATGCTCAAGGACTTTCTCAAGAACACAGCGAAAAGTCGCCGCGAGTTGTTTAGTACTAGGTTGGCAGGCTATATCTGAACTTCATATAACTTTTTCTATCCATTATTGAGAATGTCTTCGTGAATAGTTTTGACGCTCCTCAGACGAAGAACAAAGTTTGTAGTAGCGAAAGATATTGAATTTCAAATGTCACTGTCAGAGTGGTGCCAGTTTCAGGAGACAAGGCCCAATAATCACAGCTTGGGAACGCTTTCAGAAGGTTTTCTCATCTCAAGCCGTCGAAGTGTAAGGGATCGGAAAGATCCAAAACCTCCTCAAGCAAAGGCCCCTTAGCACTGTCGAAAACATTGTTATATTTAAACGAATTTAATTAATAATATTAGCATGGATATCAGCACTCTTTAAATAACTTTTGACATCAACCACGAATAGATGCTTAAAGGAAAAATAACGACAATCAGACATTTCTCATCAGGAAACTTTGAATAGCACTCAGGGCTTCTGGCTGCCGGTCGATGTTTCTGATATCTTTGATCTTTCTGCTGGTTTTTCCCAATCATAAGGTTGATTGATGTCTCCACCAGCAGTCTTAGCGGCCTAAATGTTCTACTGTATGAATAGAACAGTTGAACTCAATGAAGAAAGAACACTGAGAGGCTAGAGCAGTGGTAAGAAGTCAAGGTCGTTCTGAATGCCATTAAAAAAAATAAAGAAAGTGAATGAAAGTGACAGCAATTTTCTGTGCAGTGTTTGCAAACATTAGGGTATCTTCGGAGAAGCATCTTTAAATGAACTCACAAACCTTGGTTAATGATTTGTAAATGAACTCGTAGTCAACATGATCAGAATATTTCAAAGTGTCGATATAGTCGAGCACTTTGCTGAGTTCCTCCTTGCATTTGACGCCAGATAATGCCGCATCCTAAAAAGGTGCATTATTGGGATGCCGTTTTTTTAAAATTGTTTTCAAGGAACAACAGTCAAAACCTCTTATTGGTTGCTTTCATAGTCCTCCGGACGGCCGGCGCGCTCGCTCACCAACTCACTGGCTCGCTCGCCGGCGGCTGACTATGAAAACAGCCATTGAGGGTCTACTTGAAAGGTTTATGCAAGTGGAAACACCAACTCGTTTTGTCGTACGCATTTCTTCTTTTAGTTTCAATGTCTCATCTTTGTTAGTGACTGTTCTCCATATCAGCCCTACAAATCAACAGGATTCGGGAGCCCTGTTCCGAAGGGGTATGGTTGTCGGTGAGTCTCGCTAAGTAGTAGTTACTAGCCATTATAGTTGAAAATCGCATTTATATTACGATAGTTCTTTATGCTACAGAGTTCTAGCGAAATAGTAGGTTGCATGGTCTAAAGGCGCTAGCTCCATCCACTAGCTTCGCCTTCCTAAGTGGTTCGAAGCTTACCAAAGCTTCAAACCAACTCTGGGCCAACAAAGCCTCGCATCCTTTCGGGGACAATTTTTTTCTGAGTGAAACTCCGGTTGTCTAGCCATTCTAGTCATCCGATTGAAGTGTATCTATAACCTAAACTCTTCAGAGATTTTGCCAAACAGCTTTATTGAGTAGAAAGCATACGAATCAATTGGTTCTGAGCTGGTACAAAGAATTTCCAGCCTCCATCATGCAAAATTGCAGAGATAGTGGTCCTATGCGGAGTTCTTTAAAACCACGTACACACATGGAACAACGGACCACTGTCGGGTGCGGGCATGCGAATTGCGCTTGGTCCACGGCCCTCGGCCAAAGAGAAGATGACACGACAAACTGCAAATCACTCGTTCCACTGACACTTGCTTGTACTGTAGTGTCACCTCGAGACCTCAGTGAGGGCCCACCCCTACCAGAGGAAAGTGTTGTGAGCCTTCAACTCAACTAAGCAAGCAACTCATTCGTGGCTTCGAATTACTGAAAACTTTTTGATAGCGTTACCTTTCGGCATTGTGATGTCCAACACTAAGTAGAACCACGATTCACAGTCGTCTTTGGGGCCCATTTCGGCATTCTTATGACAAGCAATGGAAGCAAACTTTATTGTGCCCTTAAACGGTCGAGAAAATGTTGCATCCTTCTTTCCTTCGATACTGACAGGCGATTAGCGTTTGACATTGAAAACCAACCTTGAATCGAACTCTTTCGCGAGGAGATTTAAGTTCCCCTTTCAAATTTGTAATCTTTCGAGCTATACCAAAATCAAGAATGTATATCTGAGAAAGAGCTGTTTTAATTCAAGTCACATGTCGCTGCACTCAAAGACACAGTACACGATTAAAACGGTTTGCATATTCCTACCCCGGACAAACCTCTGCCCTCTAAATTCAGCACATGGGATGCTGGGTCGAAAATGGTCTAGATATGGCGCAATAAGGGCCAAGAAACGACTGAGCCCACGTGCACGCTTTAGGCTACAAGTTCTCATGGTACTGTTGAAGCTGCAGAGGTCGCTCCATTCGCACCAGGACGCACATGTTGCACGCAGGCAGGCTACTGTATACTGTAGCCAGCTGTACACCCTGGCGCACATATGAATAGCCTTATACCCTTTCAAGCAACTTCTGTCACCACTCTTCGTCCATCCTCCCCACTCCCCCCCCCCCCCCCCCCCCCNTTTTTTTCGCCACTTTTACACTACTCTGGACTATACCTTCCATATTCGCCTGAATCGCGAACCCTGGAATCATCGTGAGCTGTGCCTTACAATATTTGCCGAAGTCCAGGCGGAAACACGAAACTACTAAGCGTTTCCAACATTTCAGACCGAGAGCGAGGCACTCTGATGGGCATACCACTCTTTGTTTGTCTCCTAGACCACACGCGTAGTTGGCCGGTTTCAAATCTCGATGAATAAATCCATGTTTATGCAGATCTTCACACGCTTCTAAGCACTGTATACCAACACCCATTGCCGTGGATATCGAAAACACCTAAATAAAGAAGGGCATGAACTCATTATAGTTCCAGGATATCTTATCAATCAAACGTTAATACCTTTTTAGGTCGCAATCTTTTCAAATCTGCTAGACTTTTGCCCACCAATTCCATCACCAGAAAGAAATAGGTGTCCTTTTTACCTCTGTCGATTATTGCGGTAAAATGTGATTGTTTTCTCTCAGCAGATACGAGTTTGAGGATCGCAATCTGTGTACATTTGTTTCATTGGAGAGTTTAAAAAATGGCGAAAATGACGAACTATGTATGCTAGAAATAGCGTTTAAAAATTGGGCAGCTTGAACCGTATTAGAGAGCTTTTGCTTCCTTTTTTCTATTCTTTTCAATAACAATCGAGTGGCCTACCGACCCACTTCCCTCCCTCTCTACACTTCCCTCTCTTAACCTCAGGGGTAACCCACCCCTATTCTTGTAGCGGTTAGAGAAGGAAGTATTTCCTACAACACTCAAACTAATTGGCAATGGCCCACAAAACTCGGCCACTTATTCTTGATAGAGGTGTGCAGCACTTTGGTGGGATCCATACAAGTGTTCCATTGGCAGGATAACTCCTGCTGAATCGATTGCTTTGGAGGTCCAACCGTGTTATGACCTTACACCCAGGGCATCTGATGTTTGGTCCAATCCAAATGATTTGTCAGCTGATATAGTCATGGTCAGCGGACCTTCCCTTTTTCCTTGACTCGGAAAAGTTGGATTTAATCTTTGAAATCACTTAAAACTATGTGTTCGGCGCTAAAATGTTGGGCAGCTATGAGTATAAACGGCTTTCGTAGCACTGCTAGGTTAGGCTTGGTCAGGCTGCATCGGTTGTGCAGTAATTGATAGATCAGGTCCATTTAGAGGTTCCTTAGAATGCTGAGGAGTTAGTTCCAAAAGAAAAGAAAAAGCTCAATTACATCATTTCAAACCTCCATTTTCAGTTTCGAATGTGGCCGTGTTTCAAGCTTCTTCTCGACTTTCATGGCATACTCCTTTTTAGGATCTTTCTCATCATAAACTCTAAATATTCCATTCTGAATAGCCATCATTTCTAAACTTGAGGAACTGATATTCGAGAATGGCGTGATCACCATTTTCGAAAATTATTTGTAAAGAATTGCTTTGAACCATGAATGTTCTACTTCGGAATACTGTGAAAGGGTAAGGACATAAGTGATGGGCGACAGGAAGGCAACACAAGAGAGGTAAACTGTTAAGAAACGGCTGGAAGCGAGAACTACTGGACCTGCAATGAAGATCACATCAACAGCGGAGCCTTTCTAATATTTGGTAGTAGGAGGTGGCACTGAGATTGATAGATGCCCTACAGTGGCAGTACCATAGGAGGCGAAAGAAATGCGGGTCAGTCCCACGACTAAACTGCGACCTTGAAGCCTCTTGCACCGGAGACAGGGGTAGGAACTACTTGACCCTTTAATTCTGAGAAGAGCGGAGACAGAACTCGACCGACCACCAACTTTTGCCAATGCTTACAAATGCACGAGGATCTCTGCGGTTATGAAGACCATACATAGTGATTATAGTGGATAATGCTATTATCGTAAATGGCGAGTGGGTATCATTCTGAGCACGACTCGCAATTGAAAGAGTCTTGTTAACGAGTCCGGATCGACAATAGCAGGATTAGTTGGCATGTGAGGCGATCGCAAAGAAATTGGTCTCAAGATGTAATGGATTCGTATGGAAGAGGAGGGCAAAGAGGAAGTCTCTGAGATCAGCGGATTACGCTACAGTTTCAAAAAAGGACACGGTATTCTAGGATTGGAAAGTCCTGATAGAGTGGAAGTAATTCTAAGCGGGCTTACTTGTACACGGCTCCAAATCCACCTTCACCGAGTAATTTAACAATAACGTAACGAGCTTTGCTAGAATCGATCACTGTTCCCTGAAGATCCACCAGATGTCAGAAGTTTAGATTCCAATACGAAAGACAGCTAACCGGTTTGATGCCAAGGTCATCCTCCTCTTCTTCACTCATGGAATGGAGATATCTACCTAAAAATGCCAACCCTACCCATCCAACTACTTTTATTCCACCCGCCAGTTCATATCTGTCAAAACACAGATATGAAGCTTTCCAGGCCCGTATCAGCTGTTACGATATTCCTTTATCCTCTGTCGAGTGTTAGTAACGCTCAGCACCACATTACAAACTAGCATGACTCCACTGTTAATACAATAATGGAGTGACCTAGTGGCTCTTGCCTCTTGACGACCGTTATCGGTTTTTTTTTCAGTTGTTTCAATTTTTGCCATCGATCATTCACGATCTCGAGGCATCACACAGTACGTACTAAGATGTCGGAATTGGGTACGAGGGACATACATATTACGAGCCGAATGGCCTGATGACATCGGTTCCTACCTTCAAGTACCTATCAGGCCCACACCACATCACCCACGCAAACTTTGTGAAGAGTAAACGGTTGGGCATTATTGAAAGAATGTCATTACAAAACTGATGAAACACGGATGTCACGACTGAATTCTATCTACTACTCACGCCATCACATGGATACCCTACCTACTTGGTTGCTCGACTGTTGAAAGGTCTTTTAAGTGCCACAGGCTCATCACCAAACACGTATGGTCCAGGGTTCGAATCTTGGTTTGATAAGCGCTTAGGCCATAGTATTGGTACCGCACTGGTCTAGGAGGATGAAAGCACAGACTTATACAGCGGATTTCCATTGCAATTCACTGTACAAGCCACATACTCATTATATATGCCACTACGGTCCTGAAAGGAATCTGTCTTTGGAAAGTGTGGGCCCACCCGAAAGACAAGATTGTTTGACATTATGCCAAAGACTTCATTCTTTCATGTAGTATCGACCTTAATCAACTCATCACTGTTGCTTTCACCTTGGAACGCTACTTATCACACCACAACCTGTATCATCGTCTGCCCCTAAAATTTCCGTCACGTTTCGCTTTTCGCAACATATTCAGCGTTGGGTGCATTGGTTAGTCGAAAGAGCACGGGGTCTAGTAGCCGTTCTTTCTACGTTCATCATAAAACCGTAATCCAATCCCCATCATAAACCATAGTTCAAAAGCTTCCATCCCAACACGGAACGTTTAACAGACTAAGCACTTATGGTCTCCTAGGGTCGTTACCAGATCATATCGTCCACTATCACTTTCGCGACTGGCCAACAATAAGTGTTTAGGCAAGAAAAGGTGCGAATATGTGTATGTGCGTATGCGTTTCATCGGCAATGGGTTCGGTTTTCCCCAGTACACTTTGTAAAAGATTGATGCGTATAAAATTCTGGCAGACGCGTCCCGAAATCCTGACCAATGTTTTGCCGTAATAATCACCAGCATTAACGTCTTCGCAAGCAAGTAGAACAATGACAACCAGCGGGTTTGAAATGAAGTTTTGTTGAAGCATAACCAGAAATTACTAGAGAGGTTAGAAAAACCAACCCGTAATATTGATTCCCGCAGTAGGGGGAAGTATATAAGCGGAGTAGATCGCCGCAAAGATCGCCTTTCAACCCACTAAGATCCGAATCCAAAGATGAGCACCTTCGCCTTCTTTGCATTGGCTGCCTTGATCAATGCCGTCTCGGCACACGGTAAGGAAAAAATCTTACCGACAGCATCTTGTCGAGCTTATAACTCTTCAAAACCTAGGCACCATTCAGAATACGGCTTCGGCTACGGTGAATACGGCGCTGGCCACCATGGACACGACCATGATTCGAAGTATGGCGCTGGCTATACCAAAGGGTTTGACACGGGAGGTTATGGCGACTACGGCAGTCACAAGTACGGTGGATGGGGAAGTTACGCCAAGGGGAAAGAGCATGGATCGTACTACGGTAAATCTTTGAGCGTATACTAATATCTGAATGAGAACATGAGTGATTTTCTAGGATCTGATTATGACGACGACTATGGTAAAGGGCACCACGGCAAGGAGCATCACGAAGGCGGTTTTGAGTATCACGACGGTGATCATGACCATGGGCATCATGGACATGATCACGACGACGATCACCATGGCCATGGACACCACCACCACCATCACCCTCATGGACACCATCATGACTTCGATCACCATCATCACCCTCATGACCACCATCATGACTTCGACCACCATCATCACCCTCATGGACACCATCATGGCTTCGATCACGATCACCATGGTCATGGACACGACCACCATGGACCTCATGATCATCACGATTTCGACCACGACTTCGGTCACCACGGCCATCACCACGGTATTGCTATCTTCCTTTTCGTTGATCATGACTAGAGAAAGACTTCAGAGAAATTTAGTAATTTTCAGGTCACGACCACTACTGAGGTCCTGTGGAAAGCGGCTCCTTTTCTTTGCTCAACCGTTGTTGTTCCGAGCTCTCTTGAGATAAATTTCTCAAACCACAATCAGAAATCGCAAATCTTCGAATAATCAGGTTGTATACCATGCAACTGTTACGATGGGTCGCGAATTCGCTGAAAGAACGGCCTTTCTTCTTTCTACAATGTTATAAGGACAACCTAAACCACTCGCGTCCCTTCAAAACACAAAAAAACTGCTTCAAGACACAGCTCGATTAGCTCATTTCATCGGAGCACTGGCCGTCAAGATTCTTCTGAATATTCTCTATACAATCGCGTGTATAGGGAATATTCAAGCACCCTCCTTTTCACAGCTCGCTGAATGACTCCAACTGCATGCTCATAATGTTTTCGCAGAGTCCAAGTCTTTGAGACGTACCTCAAAACAGGAATGAGGTCAGTGTCAAAAAAGTGAGCGCGGAGCTGGATATTCTTTTTCTCTTCAGTACTCCCGATACCCTACTTCTGCTCAGCTCCGGGCTAGTTCGTTCATCATACTGACTTTGCGGCCCAGATACACATAGCTCAGGCATTCAGATATGTTCCTTCCATTTAGTGTGAATGGAGCATCAGATACCAATCCGTTCCGCATGAACATCGTTTTCGTTAGGTCCAAATGTTTTTAATCCGGCCACCATTTGTTCCACCTGCTCGATGTCCGGTGTTACAAGCTCTATTCCATCTGCAAAGGGTAGGTGGCGCCGGTAGCGACTGTCGTCCTTCACTCCCATGCCTACTCATTCAATATGATCCATGATGTTCTCGAGAGCAGCACCGAATAGTTTGGGCAAGATGGTATCGCCCTTTCAAATCCCTCCCTTCATGATGATGACTTCTTTAGAGAATGGCGAGATTCTAGCCGTGAACATGTCGTAAAGCTCAATGAGCATCCTTGTAAACTGAGTAAGAGCAACCCGGTTGCCCAGGACTCCAATCACCCCCTCTATCTCGACGGTATCAAGGGCTTTTTTCAAATCGGTGAACGTAGGACATAACGGCACTCTGTACTCTCGCGATACTTCAATGAGTCTTGTAAGAGTGTGGATATGATCGATTGTGCTGAACCCTATCCGAAACCGTGCTTGCTCGCATAACTGTCCTTCATCTGATATTCTGCCAATCCTGTTAAAGGCACAGTTCACGATAATTTAGGGGTATCCGGTATTTCACAGATAGTGATAGGTAAGGCCTACATTAGGACAATGCTAAAGCATAAAACGCTATAAACAGTGAAAAAAAGAACTATGAGCGGTCAAAAAAAAAGTGAAAAAGGGGGTTTGACGAGTTTCATAATGAGGAAACGGCGGTTAAGTGAATTTTCGCGCGAGTACACGAATGCGACGCAATGTGTGCATGGCAAACCAAACACCCAAACAACTGATTTAGACTACATACTTGAAACTATTTATTCTCTGACTGATATTTCGCTGAAATTTTATGTTTATTCAGTTGGCCTGCACACAAAGGTGAGTAATTTCCCTTATATTATCATTTTACGATCAAATGTACTTAAGTTTTCTTATAGTACGTTGTTTTATAAAGTTCATGCTAGGATTTCAATTTTATTATTTGCAATGCATTTTCTTCATTTGGAGCAATTATGTGTTCTTGTACAATGTCAAAAACACTCTTTGACTTTTATTTGAAGATCTATGCTCAGTTAAATCTTAGCATTATCATGGGAACCCCTTCTTTCATGCTTTTTCTTTCCAGTACGAGGCGGTCGACCACCTGACCGTCCCTGGCAACTTGCCAGTCAGCGTATCGATTTTTCACTAACTTCCTTCCAGTGCGAATGTTGTGAACGACAATTAGATTTCGTAGTCAGCCTAGCGAGGGGCGGAGGCCTTCCGTCCCCCACTGTTCCTGCCCTTATTGTACAATATCCAGACCGTTTTCCGACCTCATTCCTGCACAAATGGTATCAGAGGGGGCTTCGAACTCAAACCATGTGCAAATCTCCGGAACCACTTTTTCGTAAACCGTGCCTTTAAGGATGACCAGTGTGAAAAATTATGGATCACAGACAGCAGGCAGATCATGCATAATGGTCAAAATCGTCTTGGTTTCTTATGCAGCATTTTTTTGCTAGTTTTCCACGAACTGGGCCCAGGCCTATATTGTATTCCCACAGTTACCGCGTGAAAGCCTGGCCAAGGTTTTGACAATGACTGGGGGAAGGCTCTTCAGATACTCTGCTTTAAACCTATCGAGATGGGGCGCCATCCCATTTCTCATCGACGTAGTGACGTGGCGAATTTCGAAGGAGAGAATCGGAGGGACGACGTATCCGTCTTGCCTAAGATGGTAGGGGGGCAGGAAGACGCGGCTGTCGAGATCCATGTAGAAGTCGTAGATGTCTCTCTCCACTGCCCTTTGAGATGCAGTAAAAGTTCCGTCTAGACAACGAAGGGAAGACATCTAGGTCTTATAATTGACAAAGCTCCGGCGGATTTGCAAATGCTCTTCCTGTCCTCAGCGACTTCAGACAGAAATTATGCTCTTGTCTCCTTCAGATCTTCCCTTCTCGTTTCACTGCATAGCTTCGTAAGTTCGGACGTTGGCTGGTTGAGTGGAGCTGTTCAGCCGTTCTTCTGAGGCCAGTCTTGGCGTTGAAGTCACCAGCGATGACCTCGAAGAAAGAATGGCCTTCTCTGTGAAGCCTGTCCAGAACCATACAGAACGCTTACAGCTCTTCTTCGTCGTGGTTCGATGTTGGTGATGTAATTCTTCTCAGTGGCAAATGCTGATTCGAGTTACCAAGCTTTCGTACGAGTCAATGTTCATGGTCACGTGCGTGTTGACGAGGACACCTACACCACCGACGCCTCTGCTGTTGTATGTTTCAGAGAACAGTTCTTCTCCAGTTTCGAAAATGGCGTGCTACGGGTGATGCTTCTCGTTTTGGTCAGTCCGATGACGACGTACTTGATACTCCCGACTTGCATCATCAGATCCCCGATGTTCGATGCAGGCGTTCGCACATCGAGAGTACAGATTGCCATATTAGTCCTTCTCTTTTTAGGCAGCCTGTCGTATCCCTGAGGTTTTAGCAGCCTCTTCCGAGCGGTCCTCCCAACGCTGCTGTACTTGGGGCTCCCACAGGCCCAGGGAATGAGGGAGAGGAGAATTTTTATCACTCTTTTTGGCATATAAATATCCACGTGTAACTTACTAGGCTTTAACACGCGAGAGGGAGGGTCACTCTTAACCGTGAGGATATCCAGACCTGCTGTTAAAGCTATGTTTTTTAATGTAAATATTATTGAAAGGACGGCTTTCGATAACAGCATGGCAAGGAGAAGACATCGAGCCGACCAATTCCTGAATGGTAGACACTGGCATGACAGTTCACTGCTTCGCCAACTGAGCGAATTTTTCTTTACTGTTCGGAAGTCTGTTCGAACAACGCCTTTTAAGCTCTTCCGACATGTGCGCTATAGGATTCATATCCGATTACTGACTCTACCACTCTAGAAGTCTGGTCCGCTGTTCGCTGAAGGCCGCCTCTCAACTGTTGAGATGTATTTTCGGATCGCTATCTCGCTACAAGATCCATCCTGCTGGCATGCGCCGCTGCGCCCACGGCAAGACTTGTCGACCATCGTGTTTTTGTAGTAATCCGCTGTCATCGTGCCGTCAATTTTCAAAACAGGACCTTCTCCGTTCGAGGAGAAGGCACCGTATACCATCACCATACCTCCACCATGTTTGCTTGTGGGTAGGGTGCACCTTGGATTAAACCTTTCTCCGAATGGATGTCATCCGTAACGAGTACCATCGCTTTCAAACACACTGAACCAGCTCTCGTCTGTAAAAAGATTTCTATTTCAGCCAGTCGTGATAGGCACAAAATCCGCTTTCAGTTGCTGTGAGCTACGGTGGGCAGTGGACCAAACTTAAAACCAACCCCTACCAAAACTAGCTCATCTCTCATACTCATATGAAAGAATGACCAATCTAGTCGAGCCTTTCAATGAGATAAAGTTTCGGATCTCCACTACAATGTCATTAGTCAAACCAGTCACATGTTTATATTGAAGGGTTGGAAGGGATAAGAGCACGGTCCCCGGAAAGGACAAGTGCGGGTTCGGGTCCCGTCCGAGACTGGAGTTTTGCCCACAAATCGCCATTCTTGTGAGACTTTTGCTTCGCGTACTGCGGCGGTAAAACAGCAGTTAACAAAACATCAAGTCAAAACAAGTACTAACATGTAAAGCTTACAGCTTAACGGTTCTGTGCTGATATTGGCCAACCGGCTCAACACGTTGTACGTGNGAGTGCTGATAAGCTATGGCATATAAGCCATTAAGAAGGCGAGGGCAAGCGGGGTCTCGGTAGTGTAAGGGATAAGAGCACGGTCCCCGCAAAGGACAAGTGTGGGTTCGACTCCCGTCCGAGACTGGAATTTTGCCCACAAATCGCCATTCTTGTGAGACATGTTCATATTGTTGATTTTTATTGCTCTACATTCAGTGCTTGGAATCCAGTGGAGTCCCGAATGGATGTTAGATGCATGGTGCATATGAACAGAGATAGATCGCTCCGCATTGAAGAGCAATTCCACATAATGCATTTTTCCAGCCATGTGCAGACCAAGGAGGCGAAACGTTCTGCTTAGGCCTAAAACATTCAGGGTTTGCAGCTTCAAACTTCTACAACGTCGTGCAGACCTACTGCTCTAAGACATGTGGTATTTGCACAAGTGGTGATTACACCGAGAACCCAGCAGAAGTTAAAAATTTCTGGAAGTTTAGTTTTGCTGTGATTGTTTGTGACTTTAGCAGCATTTCCACTCTGCCCAAAAAATCATGCCGATGTAGGAGTGAATTCGAGGTGGTGAGCAGGCGGCTTATTCATACTCAATAGTACGCATTCTATTTTTACATTCTCAGAATGCCGCTTTTCAGAATAAAAGATTCACGCACACGCACATGGGCCTTCTAACCATATATAGGGTGACT